GGCCTCGAGCGCGGGGGAGACACTTTAGGTAGGGGGGAGTATGTGAGCGGTAATAGAGTTGTCCCTAGATGAGGTAGTACCAGGCTGATTTGTGCTGGAGCCTCTTGGCTTCTGTTCGGTCTTCTGAAGTGTGTCGTCTCGGAGGTAATGTATGATGGGGTCCATCCAAGACAAGTCTTGCTGAATGAGTAAGACAAGGAGGGTTGTCAGCGTGATACTCGGTTGGGCAAAGTTGTCCATCCGCACTGTTGAGTCGAGGTCGGTCCTTGGCGAATTGGCCAACTTCGATAGTGCATCGGCTCGTACATTTTTGGCTCGGGGAATATGCTGAATATTGAACTGCTCGAGCCATTGGATGAGCTCTTGTACCTTCTATAAGTAGCTCGCCATGGTGGGGGTCCATGTCTCGAACTAGTCGTGGATCTGGTTGACCACTAGATGGGAGTTACTGAAGACTTCGATTCGTCGGGCTCCAAGGTCGAGGGCAAGTTGAAGTCCGACGATGAGGGCTTCGTACTCAACTTCGTTGTTGGAGGCTTTGGACTTGAACCTGAGGGCGTGCTCTAGCATCATGTTGTCTGGGCCGAGGAGGATAAGGCTGAAGGGATGGGAGATCCATCATATGGATGGCCGAACAATGCATGGTGGTTGGGCGAAATTTCAAAAATTTTCTCTCTCCCATCCGGGAATCGTATTCCCATAATTTTGAAAACTGCATTTTCAATGTTCGTTCTTGAAACAAATTGGACCTGATTTGAAACCAAAAGAGGGAGAGGAATACCTGATACAGAATCCACGCAAAAGCTCCTCCCAATGTCGGTGTTCATGCTCAAAGAGGTCACCAAAAGCCACCTCCATTGAAGATGACACAGCTAATGATGAGGCAGGATTAGTCGGGTGGTTTTTCGACAAGAACACTAATTCTTCAGTAAGAATCAAGCAAGGGGTTGGTGAGCACGACTTTAGATTATTTCTTTTAGCAAGAAACAATATCAAGAACTATTCTTGATCAGATCCAAAAGAGGAGATCGAACTGGGTAGGGGTGGCAAGAACTGGAGGAGAATTCTACAGATTGTTAAGTATATAAAACTGGTGAATTTGCCCCCTATTTATAGCCTTCTTTGGATCAACTTTCTAATCCAATTAGGAAAGAGTTTCTTGATCCAAATATGATATTTGGATGTGGACTCTTAAATGGACAAGACATCTTATCCTCTTACTAATCCTAATCAGCTTATAAACCAAATTCGCCCCAATTAATTAAGTCACTTAAGCCTAATTTGAAATGGGCTTTAGGCCCATTAAGTCATATAACTCACTTTCCCTTTTATATGCTGGCTAGTTTGGCTCTCTTTGTATGACATGGGACCCTAGCATTGATCTACAGAAAAGTCATATGGGTTCAGCCCAACCTCTGTTACAATGCCTGGCCAAATTCACTACTGAAGGCAGTAAACCACTGAGCCCATCAGTATGGGCTCTTAGTAGGCCTAACATTTACACTAAATGGTCCCTAGGTCCAACCACCTTATGAAGGCCCAAGAACTATGGAATTATGTGAGATTAGTCCATCAGGTATAACCCTAAATGGTCTTACACTTAACCTCTTAGCCCTTAATGATCATACACTGCTCGACAAGAGAGGACCTCTCCATCGGCTGCAAGGTACAGTGTTGCACTCTCTATTCACATGGATCCTGGGAATTAAAACCTTTTGCCAAAATTTTGTAAAACCATAATATATATGTATATCTCTATATAAATATATTTTGCAAAAATAATTCTCAACAAGTTTGAAATCAACTATCGACAGTTTAGGTTTTCATTAGAGAGAGTGCATTCCCCGATCATTCACTTTGTCTGACAAAGGGGCTGATTCTGTCACTATGATCACCCACTCAACTGAACTCTCGAACTGTCCCAACACACCTAGGTTTAAGGATCTCACTGATTGGCACATCCAAGATAGCCTAATTCGACACCTGGTGCAATATCGTAATTGAGTCTAGGGGTTATGTGTAACTTTCCAGTTTTGCCCATCTGTCCCCAAGGTCTTGTGCATAACTGGAAAATGGTCGGTTCAAGGTTTCAAGTAAGCCCACACTACATGTGCTTCAAGTCTCACCCTAGCAGTTGAGGCATGCCACCCCAAACGACTTGACAACACATTAGTGTTAGCCTTGGTAGGATAAACCTCCTTAGGTCTATCCAATGGCTATGAAGATTCTAAACTAACACAAGTCTCATAAGTGTCCAATTTAAGGGTTTTACACAAAAACACACCATATATAACATGAATCAATTATGTACTATTAGTCATTTACAATAAACGCACCAGTACATTGATCTGATTGGAGCTAAGGGCATACACTATCTAACAACTCCCACTTGCACTTAGATCCAATCGGCTACCTCAGTCCTAAACTGTCCACATGTTTCTCAAACACTTTCTGTGTTAGTGGCTTAGTCAATGGGTCTGCCACATTCTTCGCCGATGCTACCTTCTGAATCTGGACGCCTCCTTTAACAACAATCTCCCATAGGTCCACTGTTGTCATACAACAGTGGGATGGGTGATGTGTTGAATTCCAAATTCCAGAATGAACAACTTCATCCATTAGGTAGCCTCACTTATGGCAATGTGCTTGGCTTGGGTTGTGGACTATTTTACTTACTACATAGGACCCCATCGTAAAGATGTAACCAGATGTAGATTTTTTATCATCTGGGTTTGACTAGAAGTCGGCATCCGTATACCCTAGGATCTGTAGTGAACTACCATCGGTATACCCTATAAAACTTTGCCGGTGATCAACACTAAGACAATGAACAAGACATTACTCTTATATATATATATATTAATAGGATTGGGGTGCTCTCTCCGTGCAGGAAATGGAATCTACTCGTGCAAGTAGATTTCCACGTAAGAACAACTCATTTCCTATTAATTATAAATTATATAAATATTGTTAGATAATTAGATATATATATATATATAATTATCTAATTATAAATATATAATAGTTATTATATAAATATTGTTAATAACTAGATTCAAACTGTTCGAACGATTTTGCACATTTTTTATTATTTTTTATTATTTTTTATTTATTTATTTTTTTTTTAATTTTTTCGTCAAAATGGTCAACTGTTCGATAATTATATAAGATAATTAGATATATATATATAATTATCTAATTATATAAATATATAATAATTATTATAAATATTGTTAATAACTAGATATTGAACCGTTCGAACGGTTTTGACCGTTTTTTATTTTTTTTGTTAGAATGGTCCAACTATTCGATAGTTATATAAATATATAATAGTTATTACATAAATATTGTTAATAACTAGATATCGAACCATTCAAACCATTCAAACCGTTTTGACCATTTTTTTTAAATTTTTTATTTTTTTTGTTAGAACGATCCAACCGTTCGATACTTATATAAATATATAAGTTATTTTAAATATTGTTAATAACTAGATATTGAACCGTTCAAGTCGTTTGAACGGTTTTGACCATTTTTTATTTTTTTGTTAGAATGGCCGATCGTTTGGTTCGTACGATTGGACTGTTCGACCTGGTAACTAGACCCCTAACCGGTTCGGTCTCTAGGTCAGTTTTAAAACCATGATGTTATGTCATTCGAGTGTGTGACTCATACGACCCGAAAATGGAACCATTCTAGCCCCCGGTTTTTGGGTCGATGGTTTAACTGTCCAGTTCGAATGGACGACCCATTTTGACAACAAAAATTAAAAAAATAAAAAAACGACCAAAAGCCATTGAACAGGTCAATAGATTGACGGTTCCCAATTAAAAGAAAATAAGAAAAGGACGATCGTTCTGACAAAAAAAACTACAGGCAAAAATTGAGTGTGTAAGGTCCATTAAGCAGTACCATACGTCGTGTTTTGTCATTCGAGCGTGTGAATCATACGACCTGAAAACGGAATCGTTCTGGCAACCGGTTTTTGGGTCAACGGTTTGACTGCTCAAATCAAACGGATGACCCGTTCTAACAAAAAAATTAAAAAAAAATAAAAAATGACCAAAAACCATTGAATGGGTCAATGGTTCGACTGCACGGGTCAATGGGTCGTTGGCCGATTCAATGATTTTTTGCCAGGAATCGAGATTAGAATAAAACGGAATCGATTACCTAGATAGTTCCCAATTAAAAAAAAAAAAACGGCCAAAAACCATTTTACGGGTCAACGAGTCAATGGTTCGACCGCTTGGGTGAATGAATCATTTCAGCCCCTACGAACCAAGGTCCCTCCGCTAGTTTTACTTTAGATTGAGTGCTAAGGGCCTAGCAGCTTAGATAGTCACTTGATATCTTTCCAAGTATGAAGGTTTGAGGCAAAACCCGTGTAACTAAAGGTTCTTTGTGGTAAGGTTAGTGGACCTCATGTGCCTCTTGCTTTGTCCCATCTTCTACCACTCAATCAGCATGTTCATGTGTTTGGTACATCTGTTCCCATTTTGTTTTGTTCCAAATGTGCATTTGACATTATTGATTTTAAGATAATTTGACAAAAATATTTAGATTTCAAAATCCTATTCTTTGGAATATTTCCACATCACTGTAATATATAACATTACAAAAAGAATGTACCAAGTTCCAAATTTCATACACTCCCTGGTCTAGAATATCCTAGAATGGCAAGTGCAAGAAGAGGATAGAAAAAAGCATATGAAAAATATTAGAAGTGTGGGGACCGGGCACAAATGTAAAATTTTGAGGTTGGACTTGTGAGTCACACGACAGCTTAAACATCACATCAAAGTCAAGGAGGCCTAGCCTTATCATCCATCCAGGACCATTTCAATCATCATTACTCATATGCGTTTAATGAGATATTCCTAGTTCCTAGGTCCTCCAGTTGTGCGGAACGCTAAGGATTTATAGTTGATCTTCACTTGCAGACTTAAGAAGAAGGCATTTTTCGCTATAATCTTCGGATAAAATCGTTGGAATGGCAGAAACAATCAGAAGTCAAAATAGGTAGTTTCTTCTTTGTTGAAAGGTAGTTGATATGGTTATTACTGAAGACTCATCCCTGTTTCTGATCGAATCCTCCAACACTCCGACTGTGGGTCGGTTGTGCAGTTGTTACAGGAGCCAATAAAGGGATTGGACTGGAGATCTGTCGACAGTTAGCATCTAATGGTGTACTGGTGGTGTTAACAGCTAGAGATGAGAATAAGGGTGTCGAAGCAGCTGAAAATCTCAAAGCGGCCGGACTCCCTAATGTGATCTTTCATCAGCTAGATGTGATGGACCCCTCTAGTATTGCTTCTCTTGGAGATTTCGTCAAATCCCATTTTGGGAAGCTTGACATCTTGGTAACGTTGGAACCCAGTTACTTCAAAGGAGCGTTTTACAAATTACAACATCAATGTTTTTGTTTTCATTCATTTTTTAAAACTTGTTCTTGAACTCTGTCACTGTGTTCTTGCATTGGAAAGCAAAAACAAGTTGGGTTTTGTTTAAAACAAACAATACATGTTATTTTCTGTATTTCTTTTCAAGATCCATTTGTTTTCAAACCAGCTTCTTTTGTTTTTGTTTTCCGAACTTACAACAAGAAAAAGAATTCACATTGGAGAAAACCCCCTTAGCTTTTTTGGTTTCAGTCTTGATATAGTCTAGAAATTGAATTTTAGTGGAAATCCAATTATTGTGTAGAAAGCATCTATCTCTTCACTAAAGAGATTTACTGGGAAACAGAGACCTTCCACAACTGTTTTTTTTTTCTTTTTTTGGTTTTGTAATGAATGAATGGATTCATGAAAGAGAAACCAAATCCCTTTGCAGGTGAACAACGCCGGGATTGGTGGAGTGATAGTAGACTGATGCTTTAAGGGCCCAGAACCTTCAGAGTGGTGAGGTAAAGTAAAATCTCTCCTTTTAACAATCTACTTACTTTTGCTGCAATCAAATCCTTTTAACAATCTATCCATATTTGATGATTGTGTTTATCTGAATCTAGTGGGCTAGCTATATAACTTGTTAGCAGAGTTTTTACCAGAATTGTGGTAGAGATGGGTCAAAGAAGATTTTCTTCTTGTGGAGGATGTGGGTGCCATAGTGTTAACCACCAAACAAACTGATGTTGTCACATTGATCCTGGCAAAAGGTGAGAAACCAGATTGGAAGAAAATAATGACCCAAACTTACGATTTGGCAGAAGAATGTTTGCAAACAAACTACTATGGAACTAAAAGAGTGACTGAAGAACTTATTCCCCTCCTTCAGCTATCTGATTCAGCAAGAATTGTTAATGTTTCCTCTTCCATGGGGAAGCTACAGGTACAAAATCTTCCTTCAAACCAAAACAATCGGCAATCCTTAATTATATTATACTAAACTAAGGAAATTGCTTGGTGGTTTTTCTACTATGAAATGGATCAAATTCTTACTTTTACCCCATTAATTGAATTTTACTTTGTATATATCTCATTTTATTTTCAGTAAGGCTCAGTTTGAAAAGAGTAGAAATGTACAAATACACAGAAAATAATAATACAAAATACAAGTTTCTGTTTGTTTGCAGTGCAAATCTGAGCTGAACAGAAAATTTTGACCTATTCAGTTTTGCATTCATACAAAATTTTTACCTTTTGTCTCATCTGTATTCATTAGTAGTGCAAATTAAACCTTGCATCTCAAAAACTAATTCAGAATTTGCATCACTTTTCTCCTACCTCAGTTCTCTTTGGGGATCACATCACTTTGCTTCCTACCTCACTCCCAAATAAGTAACCCTCCCCCTACCTCCAATCTCTCTCTTTCCTTTAAGGTGGGGACTACATAATTTTACTTCTCATAAACAAATCAAAAGTAAACCAACCAATGCAAATGAAACTTGCACTGCAAACAAATTGAATCTAAAAGTTTCCCAGAATGCAAATAAATAGAGAAGTTGTTATTGTTTGCATTAACCATTAATTATGGACGCTGGTTTTGTTATTGTTCCAGCATATCTCCAATGGACGAGCTAAAGAGGTGTTGGGTGATATTGATGGCGTCACGGAAGAGAAAGTGGATGAGGTGATAACTGAGTTTCTGAAGGATTTCAAGGAAGATTGTTTGGAATCAAGAGATTGGCCTGATGTTCTATCTTCCTATAAAGTCTCTAAGGCGTCTGTCAATGCTTATACACGAATTCTGGCAAAGAAGCATCCCAATTTCTGCATAAACTGTGTCTGTCCTGGTTTTGTGAAAACAGATATTAACTGCAATACCGGTGTCTTGACTGTTGAAGAAGGTGCAGAAAGTCCTGTGAGGTTGGCTTTGCTCCCTGATGGTGGGCCTTCCGGCCTGTTCTTTAATCGGAAGGAAGTATCACCGTTTTAACTTTATTTGGAAGGTTTGGGCCCAACTTCACCGAGAGACAATAAACTGGTTCATGAGCTCTCACAACTCTTTCTGCCATTTGTTCTATTCTGCTTTCCATCTTTATAGTCTTCAAGGAAATAACTCACTTTTGTTTTTGGTAAAACATTGAATCATTCCATTAAACCAGACCCCAAAATAGAGTTCATACAAGATTCAACAGAGGATAATAGCTCTCTGAAACCAGAGACCTGATTGGACTTCTGGACTATCTGGCCAGTAGGTGGGCATGCACCACTATTACAAGAACGATTAACATAGACCCAACTGACACCGTCAAACAAAGCAGCTTCATGCAAAATGTCTTCATACAGAAACCAAATGTCTCACTGCTTTTCTAGGCTCTTTGATTGGAAATAGGAGATGAGACTAAAGCCCCATTTGGTTCGTGGGAATAGGGGTCTGGAATCGGAATCGGAATGTGATATTCTGATTCCAACTGTTTGGTTGGATAGAATCGGAATCCCATTCCCATTCCTGCTGGAATGACCTTCCCCCGTTTGAGGGAATGGCCATTCCCCGTCTCTCCCTTGGGAATGAAATTTCATTCCTGCTGATTTCAATTATCATTTCCATTCCTGTCTGAATCAAACAGACAGTGGGATTGGGCCATTCTAATTCCGATTCTGAAGGATTTCAATTTCCATTATTCTAATTCCAATTCTGGCTGCGAAGCAAATGGACCCTTTATTCTCACACTTGATAGTAGTAGATTGCAAACCAGCCCTTTTTGCCAGCTGGATACCCAGCAAAATGGCATAAGCTTCCGAAAAGATTGCTGATCTTGGTGTATTAGTTGCTGCTTGAGCTGCATTAAAGTACCCATTCAAAGCTGTAATTAAAACTCCATACCCACCATGCACACCATTCAGAAAACTACCATCTGTCCAAACAAAGGCAAAACGATCGTGGGGGCCGCTATTACGGATGTAGCAATCTCCATTAATTCCAACAAGGTTCATAGGATAGATCTTTTGAGAGCTCACTAGCCTCAATTCTTGTTGGCTCCTGTGAGCATGAATAACTTTGGTCCAAAATATCGATATGCTCCATTCGCTTTAATTTTTTCTTTTAAAAATCAGTTCAGGGGTCTGGTTTAAGGCTCCTCTATCCCCTGAATCGGTCAGAATCCCAATACACCCTTTATAGGAACGTATCAGAAAGCTTTCGGAATGATACGTATATAGCTGATATGTATCGATACTTTGAACCTTATGAATAACTACCAAAAATGGATCAATAACCACCAAAGATGGATCAATTCTTTGCTTATTGAGCTATTATAGAGTAGAGAGCAAAACCAGTCCATGATTGATCTTGATTGGTTAGGATCAAGCCTCAGACCTAGGGGGGCGGCAAACCAAATGGGTCTAACGGCAATGCATGTGCTCTCATTCTCAAGCCCACATAGATGACAACTGCTGTCAAAATTCCAAACCCTTTTAGATATGTTATCAAGAACAGGTAAACCATTATGGAGGGCTTTCTAGAAGAATAGCTTGATCTTCGGTAAGATATTTAAATGCCATAGAACTTTCCATATAGGCTTGTAAATAGGACTATAAGATTGAGGACTAACTGAGGACCTGTCTAACTCATTTTTCTAAAGCTTATAAGCTGATTTCATTGAGAATATTTTTTTCTATCAAGGCTCTGTTGGACAGTTTTGTATGCCTTAGCTTCAATCAGAATGATGTATTTTATGAGTTTATTGTAAATGAATAAAAGTGCATATTTGGTTCATGTTCCCTTGGTATGTTTCTGTGAAATACCCTTAAACTGGACACCTAATGAGACTCGTGTTAGTTTAGAATGTTCACAGCCAGAGGGTCGGTCTGGGGAGACCTATCCTGATAAGGCTGACACTGTTGTGCCATCAAGTCGGTTGGGGTGGCCTGTCTCAGCTGCCAGGGTGAGACCCTAGGCACATACAGTGTAGGATTAATTGAATCTTTGAA